ACGTGAAATGTGGTGTAGTCAAATAACGATCGTTTCCTCACTGGAAATAATCGGGATTCGGGACGAGACCCTGCTTAGAATACAAATTAACATTTTTACTGCTACAATAGAGGAAGGGCTCCCTACAAAATCTTGTGCCACAGCGTCCTTAGTACAACTGGGGGCATATTTGTATAAATGCATATTCTGTTTCCAGGAAGAACAAAATCATTGTGGAGTTGGGCTTTTTGCTTTTGGAAAAGTCAGAAAAGTGAAAGTACTGTGTCATTTTGTAGCTTTGTTTACTCAGAAACTGGAGCAGGCCATCTCCTAAAATAAATTATTTCGGCATCTCCTCAACTTGGATTTAATGCAATCAAATGTGGACAGTTTGTAGAACGTGGGTCCATTTTAGGATTTTTGGACACCAGACCAACCAACATTACCAAGCACACAGACACAGCATAGCGTCACCAATGGTAATATTACTTACTTCCGCATATTAGTTCCGGAGCCGAATCAGAGGGTACTTTTGCGTTGCTTGGTTTATGCACCGTATAAAGCATTGTAGTTACACGGAAGTAATCAAAGAAACAGACCAAGGCACTGCATAAGAAATATATGGATATGACATGGAATGCACTCCAATTTTCCAACCATTCGACTTCAATGAGACATCAAATTACTTACTGCTACCGTTTTGTGACTGTCGTAGAGACATATTGTGTATAGCAGTCAATTTCCGCCTGTTTTACATAATGTGCAAGTTGCGGGCAGCAATTTATATCTAAAGATTTAGTACATCTGTTGGATGGGTAACTCAATTTAAATTTTTCATCCTATTCACGAAATTCATGAGTCACTGTGTGTAGTAGAATTTATTAGTGTTCCAGAGCAAGTGGGACTGATTTGGCAAAGCTAAATACGTTGTATTATTTTACATTTTCTTTATAGAATTCCAGTGTACTACAAAGTACTACGAAGTCTGAGTTAAAAAATTCTCCTTAGATTATAAGACATTTTGCTACTACAAAATACAATATATTTTCCATTTATCAAGATGAAGCTGTTCGAATTGCTCTCTGGCACTTTTCATTATTGAATGAGACGCAGGACGAAGGAGAAAGAATTGGCTCAGATTTTATGGAACAAGAACTCCTTGTCTCCAACAAAATTAAGAGAAACCAAGCATTCATGAGTGGATTTTTAAGAGCCCGTCTTTTGATGAGTTATTTGGAGCATGCATGCATTTGGCGTAGCACCCATACACACGTTCATACATATATAGTTATGCATATGCATACATACCTCTAATAAATATACTGATATTTTGTTGCGCTAAATGCGGTTGTTGTTGGGTAAAAAAAGAGCAGTGAATGTGAGCGAGAAAGGCGAAGAAGATCCATCAGACTCGAACTTCTCGATCGTCCACCCTCATGGGAAATCACTTAAACAAGGTCACTAAATATGCAAATACCGAATAAACACGATTCCTATGCCAATTCCATGAACAACCTTTCAGCTTCCGGATGGGATGCTGGTTGTACAGACAGTTGGATGATGATGATGGTAATGCCCAATATTCCCCCAAGAACGCTTACCCAGATTAGGCCTGATTTTGACATTTAAGGCCTCCGTCTAAACCCGATGCCAAATTGCCATAATAAATCTTAGAGTGCTACATACATGGTCGATCTAAATAATAACAAGAAATGTGATTGAGGATACACATGCATGCACAAGTAAAATGTAGAATAACCAATCTGTCTGCAGTAAAAGTATGAGGTACATGTACAAAAATTATTATTCTGCAACATGTGCAAATCAATACAGCTGCATTGAAGATATTGTGTGGTGAATAAATATGTACGTAAGTACGGGGTGAAAGCGAAAAATTTCTCCATGGGAAGTCCTTTTTGGAGCACCCTGTATATGCGAAAGGCCAAGTAGTAATTTTGTAGGCAATTTTTTTTGTTTGCTTCCGCATGAGTAATGATCCCCAACCTTTCTCTTTTATCAAATTAAACCCGTGTTGAAAGAAAATTAAAATGGAAATATACGGGCTTGCTCAAACACTAAAAAATTCATGAACATCCCGAGATTTATGACAACATTTGTTTACGTAAGCGGGTCAAATTAAAGCCACTTATAGAGTTTACAATGCGATGGTGTGAAGTGTAACCCTCCGATTTGGCTGAAATTTTGAAATTAGGTGGTCCAAGTCAATACAACTAACGTTTCTTCAGCCAGTTTGTGCGATGGTTGGAGTTACTCAAAATATTTGAGATCAAAGTTGAAAAAACGGCCGACTTTTTTCAGGCAGAGTGAAAAAACTCCACTTCCATTCTCTTCCCCTCGCATTGACTTTCACTCCGAAAAATAATTCATTTCATCAATTTTAAATTTAATTTATTATAGAAAAACATTAATTATTCATTGCACATGGGTCTTGGTCTTTGTTTTCAAATGAATTGGAAATCAGAATAACCAACGGTTTCGAAATGGAAAGTAAGTTAAATTTTTCCATGTTTATTTACGGTTAATGAATTTATAAATTAATGTCTGTATGAATTTTTAGTGCAAAGAAGTAAAAATCTCACTTATTCAATTATGAATTAAATTAAGCGAATATGAGGCGTGTTAATTCCGATTTAATAATGTTTTATTTTGGTTATTTTGCATCACTGCTTATGCTTGTGTATGAAGGCATATATGTGAGTGAGAAACCAGAATAAAATCAATGCGAGGGGAAGCGAATGGGAGTGGAGTTTTTTCACTCCGCCTGAAAAAAGTCGGCTGTTTTTTCAACTTCGACCTCAAATATTTTGAGGAACTCCAACCATCGCACAAACTGGCTGAAGAAACGCTAGTTGTATTGACTTGGACCACCTAATTTCAAAATTTCAGGCAAATCGGAGGGTTACACTTCACACCATCGCATTGTTAGTTGTATCAGTGCCTCGAGCTGTGATACAGTTAATTAGAGTAGCGAAATTATTTAAGCAGCCACACGAGGCCATTCTTCTCTCGTTTCACTTGTATGACAGTTTCTAATGACGTTTCTAACTAATGAAAACTGTGAGTTTGATCTTTGAGCCTTTAGCTGTTATTTTCAAAATTTGAATGTGATAAACGACAAGGAGTTGCCTTTGAACTTTATGAAGGGTAGAAGAGAAAAGCAAGTTTACTGTCAACTCTACAAAATAATACTCTTTAGAATGGATGTGTGTACCTATTTACTCTCCGATGGCTGCTTTGAGTCTCTTGTCCACATTTGAGTCTCTTGTGAACATTGTACAGAAATAGGACAACTCGAGTTGGATGAAGTGAACACTAACAAAAGTGAATGAGGATAAATTTCATAGAAACACCTTGATTCGGTTGATGAACCAACCAAATCTGGCAGCTGCAATTTAATTACTTGCCATATGCAACATGTTTATGATCAGAAACAGAACACGGCAGCACAGCGCGTGGGTCTCACAAGTGTCAGAAAGCAGTATTTCACAGCACTCCCATCCAAACCCTGACTGTTTTCAATGGAACTTTGGAAACTAACAATTCTTTGAAAGTTTGAACTAGTTTGAAGGTCCCTTCATTCAACTCCTTTTCTTTTCTTATTGATTTCATCTCAAACACGATTACCAGTGAAGTGAGGCAGAAAGCAATTTGACAAAGACAGATATATGCATTTTGCGTTGCCAATCTGATAAGGCATCATTCTTTTAGAAAATTGAGTTGTAAATAAAATTATTCGGCAAAGTCAAAGAGTAGAGAATCTAAATGCAAATCGAGAATTTTCGTCTTGGTACAACGTTCAAATGCATCTGCTTGGATCGTTTTCATATGCACATGATTCCCTCTTAGATGACGATCACCTATTGCATAAGAATGGTGCCAAGATTGGTATTGATATGCAGTATATACATGTTTTTCATCTTACAATACAATTTAGTATTTCTTCATTCAAGTGACAGAAGTGTATAATATGTGCGACACACATTGTTTCCAGTACTCAATAGTCACACTAGTTATTACACACTACATAATAATTAAGAATGCGTCTATGAAATACTTAAATCAGTTAACATATTCTGTGTTAATATCTTGATTTGTGTATTGCCACATGTATTCTTTGTCATATTCTTATGCAATTTACCTAAAAACAGTTAAACGAGGAAGTCACAAAGGCCCAGCATGTTATTTATTTAGGCATTGTAAAAGCCTATGCTGAAATCGAGTGGAGAGAGTGGGTTGAAAATACTTTTGACGATTCCACATGAAAATCCAATCTGACTCCGAGTGTTCGGCAGAACTGCAGAAGTGTGTGTATTATTACATTTCCGCTGACTGGAGCTGATTTCCTACCATCATATCAGAACTGATATTGGAGAAAGCACATTTATATCATTCCAAATTATATAGTTCAACAGGCTTAAATAGAGAAGAGTGAGTGGAGCAGTGGAAAACCCACATGCTGGCTAATTGCATTATTTAATAGGGCGCACAAAAGTTTGCTCAACATACTAAAAATTGTGAACTTTCTCTCGTGACAAATATTAACTGGATTTTATTAAAAGCTTGTCAAAGTAACTACATTGTGTGGCTCTCAACGTTGTTCAATTTTCTCCCGCACCGAATAATAGAATGAACGTATAATTCGATTTACTTGGTTCAAAGTATTAAGATGACAGGTTTCAATTTGCGCACCAAACCAACAAAATGTTTAGAATGCTGCTTGGCACTATTATGCATCATCACAATGGCAAAGACGAAGAAAGAAGGATGCTTATGCTTGGTGAGTGTGGAGTGCAGTGGTTGGAGAACTTATTAGGAGGGCGACAAAAAGAGAAAGCAAAGTTGCCACACGGGTAACTTTTAGGACAAAGGGCTCGTGCTGCTTTGTCACACATTGCGCCAAATCCTTTCAACTTTTAAAGAGTGTACATTGTTTTGATAAGTGAAAGCAAAGTCGGGTCTAAATGAAGCGGAAGTTCATTGCCTTCTGATTTTTGGAACAGGAAGTCGCTTCTACTGCTCCAACTTGATAGCTCCCGTGCGGGACGAGAACGGAGACATCTGGTAAGTATTATGCAAAATATAAAAGCCAGTAACAAAATATGTATGCAACTAAAAATAACAAACCTCGTAGAAATCTTGGCACTCGTATTGTCATCAATGTTGCATATATGTAAAAATATGCATCTGAATTCGTGCTGTCTTATCGTTGTGCACACGATAAGAAGGACGGGAGAAATGAAATGCTATTTATTTTGCATTGCAGTCTCTACCTGCTAAATTTTGAGAACCTCTCTTCCACGACGCCCGAGGAGGGAGCCAGCCCGACAGAGGTAGCTAACCACCTCCTCAGCCGATGTGAGTCACTTTCTCTCTCCCACTTTCCCCCCACTACTCCAACCCACAAAGTGCTCGAGGAAACCAAGAGCAGTTTGTGGTAACGCGACTACATACGTACTTTCCCCACCATAGTTCCACACTGACAAAGTCGCCTTTGTGCCCTTGTCAACGTTGAATGATGGCCGTGTTATGTATGTGAAAGCAGACATGCAATTACTCCACTTCCAGAGTATCAATTCCGGTTTAACTTAAGCAGGGAAAGTCGTCATCATTTGACGACTATCATCATCATGAATTCGTTCTTCAGACCAAAAATACTCTGAAAAATGATTCTGCTTTGTCCAAGTCTGTCCTATTCAGTTTTTAGCCAGAATCAGAGTACATACATATTTTAATGTGTGTAGGAAGTGACGAATTAGTAGAGCGGTGGGATGAACGTGGACTATTTTTCACTATCCATTTTTTTGCAAAGAACGAGACGGAATATAAAATCTACTGTGTGTAGGTCGATTTAGCCCGGGTCAGAGTTAAGTTTTTTGTTACATGGCCCAACTACTATTACCAACTAGATATTTACTACTCGTAATAGTCAAAAATGTTCCCATAATGCAGCGTATAAAATTTCGACTTTTTCGGTTTAAACCAATTTCAAAAAGCAGTGCGGGTCACCCTACTGAGTCCCCTCAAACAATAATTTGGTCTTTATGAGATGATGTCGTTATATTTTCAGTCTAGTAGGTAAATGCGACTTTTATCCCGAATATTAGCCTTTTATTGCTCATTTTTATTTTACCCATCTTCTAACTTACCTACCATTACCAAGTTCTAAGGCGATAGGATAAGTTTAACGAGCGTTATTGCAAGACAGACGGATAGACGGACTTGAAGGTTCCATAAGCTCTGACTCGGGCTAAAAACCGATGACGTCCTCATTGGGTAATTTCGCGTACTCAATCTTTCATTCACTCAACTGAATTGAATGCATGTAGTAAAGTATGTAGCAATGAATCGATCAGGATTTCACGACTCATTGGTTTCTTCACAATGGAACCAGCCAGAATTGATTAACGACGTTGATGATATAGTTGACAGGGCCAAGCAGACGGTGAGACGGTCCCTGCGACGGAAGCGACCTTCGTCACTCAAGTCGAGGCTGGCAGCCGCTCCTTCCCTTCCTCCCATTCCTGCCTCCGATGCGGTTGAACTTGTCTCAGAAACGCAGGACAGACCGCTCGAGCAACGACGACGACCTTCTTTTAAACATTCCAATTCAGATCTCAGTCTCCGACCCACCACGCTTGACACTACTGGAAATGGCAGACAAAAGCCTCACCTCCAGGGTGGTTTCAGGTGAGCAGAGTTCGGACAATTTATCATGTTCTCTCCTCTACTAATCCCCATGTGGCCCGCATGCCTTGCATAAAGTTTCCACAAAGTCAACTCTATCCGAGTACTTACTTTTACTTCATCATTCCTCATGAATGAAGGAGATGCTCGATGCGGTGTATCTAGCAAATTCTACTCACAATAATTTCCAACAAGACAAATGAGGATGGTGTTAGTCGATCCATATAAATTTAATAGCCATTCATTCCTTCTGTTAATAAATGCTGGAGAAGAGAATGAAATAAAACAGTGCGTTACATTACAAAGGTAACGCCCTATTCAGCTCATTTATGTACCAGCATAACATTTGCGCAAAAAATCAATGCCACAACCAGGTAGCGACTTATCGGGACTGCCTTAGAAATTTAGTCTGACTATCTCTGAAATTATACGTATCGGTTTCCGTGATTATGTCATGTGCTACACAGGCGATTTTCCATAAAACAAGGTTGAATTTCTGGCATGGTATGATTGATGTGATGTAAAGTCTCCAGCTGTGTCTGCATGTGGAAGATGAGTCAACCAGATGCACCATGACTAAACAATAGGAGCATTAATGATCCAGGTCAAAGATCAGAGCTTTCTCCCACTCTGGATGATGAAGTGTGAAAGCACGCGGGTTAGAAGCCAAATACGTAGAAAGTAAATACTCTAGAGCCATATTCTTACGCATACGGGTATGTCGGTCTCGATCTGATTTGGGAAAAGACAGAAATGGAGGAAAAGTAAGAAAGAAGGGTTTGCACGCAGTTGAGATGATGATGGATGTAGCAGGATGGGAGAAAACATCATAAACTCCTTTGTATAGGTCTACTAAAATACTTATTTAAGCTCTGGCAACCTATTGTCGAGGCATTATGACCAGCCAAGTACTACATGCCGTAGCAGTTGGGTGCTTTCACCACACAGTAGTAAATCCTTCTCCATCTATTAGTCCATCGTATGTGCGTCGATTTCGTACATATATCAGGAACATTCAAATATCAGTTCTGCTTACCACCACTATTGTCCCTCCTACTTTACCCAGCGTCTGTACAATCGCGCAGTTGTACATAAATACATGGCCACTCAGCATGACAACTCTACGCGATATTCATCGAACTTGCGCCATAGTTAAACTACAACATTGGCGCAAGTTGCCAATAAACAAAGTATAAACACAAGGGTGTTTATAATTAAAATGCAAGTGTGAACATTTATAATACGGCTCTATATTTCAGAACTTAACAACTATCTATTTAAGTAATATTTGATTTGGTAATTTTTCAGAAGAAGAGACGATAAACGTAATCGTCAAGCCTTCCCTGGTTCCAGTGAACCTTCAACTGGAGGAGCATACCCTGACGTAAGCAAACTACTCAATAATATATTTTTAGAAGCCTGTTGAATTAAATTTATATTTCCATTGTTTTACCAATTAGCAGAGTGGAGGAGGAGCGGGTCGTGGGTGGTCGGCCCCACCAGAGGACCAAGAGTGCACCCCATCCACCGTCGCGTCTCAGTCCCAACTGCGGGCGACATCTTCGCTGGAAGGCATTGGTCCCGTGTCCACCAAATTGGTTCAACCAATGCCGTCAAGGTCCACCACAGTTACGAATCGTAAGCGCCTACTTCGTACCGTCGTAATAAAAAAGAAACGTCGCCACCACAACGTCATCTCCAATCGCTTATACTGTAGTCCCTACTTCGTCGTTTATAAATAGTTTTTCTGTGCTACCGTTAAGTACACGTGCAATTTGTGAAGTAAATAGGAACGTCCAGTGGATAAAGCGTGCTCATGTATTAAAATTGCTTTCTCAATGTATTATAAATAATCGGATGGAACACACAAATTTTTTAAATATTTCAGGTGCCACGAAAATTCAGAGCTTATTTTCAAACCTTATACTGCATTCAATTGGTGTTACGAATCAATGTTTGTAAAATTTGTAAAATATTCATTGTTATCTTTGTTACCATTGTCGTACGCGGTTTATTTTGCATTTTGTTATGAACGTGAGGTATCGGGGCTGTGTAATTACAAGCATGTTACAGTTCTATGTATAATTTATAAAGAAGGCTATCGTGTAGCTATCGTCGTGTAGTTGTTGACCTATCCCGCCTTGTTGCTTACAGTTTAAAAATCAAATTTTTATCCCATTCGCAAGTTTAAGAATATGAAATGTGTTTATTCATCATTGAAATTTCTATGTTTTATATGTTCTTCTATGTTGATGTGATGTGCATTCGCTCGCTCGCTCGCGTAATCAGTGTCGTCTAACTTTATGGAATGGAAATCAAATGGTTTGGTTAGACCGCATACACTTGACGACATTTACCATACCCAAGGTATATCATGCTGCTCCCTCATTTAACATTATCAAATTTCACTAAAAATTTGCCCTTTGGTGTTAATAAACTTGTCACCCTCACTCACAAAAACTCACATTCTTGATTTGAATAACACAATCGCAAATTTTGACAATTATGCTTCCCGATTATAGTTTGCTCAAAGTTCAACTTTTAGCACTGACCACAATAACTTACACTTACCACCATATTCAAAATTAAGAAATAGTTGTAGATTTACTTCCTACATTACTGATGAGTATACTAAAAATGAGTAATAGTTGCGTTTCCAACTAGAAACTATATAGGAACTCGAGAAAGGATGCAATAACATGTAACACTTCTCACTTTTCATCGTGCTTTATGTATTATAAATATTCGGACGCTAGAAGATGTACAAGAGTCCTCTCGGCTCTTTATTACTGCCACTGCGAAGTAAATATCATGTAAATAGTAGATACTATGAAAAATTTGATGTCGAGCTTTCAGCCATTGCATCCACTTTAACTCAAATTATTTTGCATGATTGTTGCTGATGTTTGTGTTAATGCATGAATTAGTGATGCCGAGTAATGGAGACTTCTACTAATAGTCTAAACGTGGTAGATTGACAGAACATATAATTTTATCGTGTCTAACCTATAATGCTATACGCGCTTGTCTTCACTGACTACCTAAATATCATCTCCTGTTATATCTGCTTTTATACGAGTCGTCCAAATTATTCAGATCTGTCCCACAATATTTGTTCCCTTTACATTCGTTAGACAAAATTAGACCCTAATTATTTTTAGTCTGCAGAGACTAATTTTAAATATTAACTTGAAATAGCCTCGGGGACCTTTGAGATTTTACTCCTCCATTAAAGTTAGTTTATCAGCAGCATGGAGATTTTTAAATAAATAAATCCGACTCTAAAAAATACAAGTAGTGAGTATTTCTTCAGACAGAATTATTGCCGGTCTCTCATTGTAGTGCCAAAAATGAAGGATCAATTCGCGACATCACTTGCTTTCTGCAGCTGTAGCCAAATGTGAGATTAATGATTTGAACTCGGGTGTGATCTTCTTAGCAAAACGGGCCTTGTCCAGCAATAAAAAGGGACTTCCCAATGTTTCCAATTCAGACTCGGACTTGGCTCGTCATCGCATTTCGTTGCCAGACAATCGGGATCGTTGTCGAGAAAAGAAATCACCGTCATTGAGCAACCTGACTCATCAGGAAGGCCTCTCCAAGTACAAAGTGAGTCCAATCATGTCTTCAATTTAGAATCTCAACCCACCATTGTTTCATTGAGAGTGCACGTATAGCGTGGACTGACATATGCACGTATAGTGAGGATTTCTTCATGCTGTCATTTGCTAAGAATGGAAAATGGAAAATTGATGGACGTAATTTATTTATTTCGTCATCCATATTTTCAGATGTCAATCCAGGAAAACGGGTCTGGAAAATTATTCCAAGTGAAAGTAGGAGAGAAAGTTGCTCAGGTTAGTAAAACTTTTTCTGTATCTTTCCTTGTGGATTTCCAGTAGAACGACAAATGTATCATACACTTACTTTTACGCATCTCAACCGGTAACTAAAACTGACATTGATAATATTCATCAATAAAAGGTGTATATTTGCCTACAACATTTTGCCATATTTATAAAACTTGGTAAAACTTCTGAACCGAAACAAAAGTAAGTACATGCGTTTAATTCAAGGCACTTGATTTACATTGGAGAAGGTGAACGTGGTTTTGGCCAAAAACTCCATCTATTTTGCAATAATTTTTAATGTTGCAACACTTTTTCAAGTAATCTGGTTACTCCTCAATGAGTAGAATCATTTATTCAGGAGTTATGTAATGGAATGTGGCTTAAAGTGAAGCGAAACCTGCACGTACATACAGACATACTACTTATAGGTCTCAGACGCAATGAATAATTGATAGACGGTGGAAGTTACAAATTGGACATGGTCTGAGAAATATATTAAAGTTTTCCTAGTGTAAGCAAGTGAAGCTGCATACATATACTCGGACGGAATATTAGCTTCATAAAAAGCAATGAAGTGATAGCGTTGTTGCAAGTCACTGTGACTTTCATGACCCTCATTACTGAAGCAAGGTTGCCTGTTTTCTATTCCAGAATTTAAGAAATTCACATATTTGGTGAAAGGTAGCATTTGTGCATGTTCCATTTGAGAAGAATGTTTGAGAAAACCTTGTGAAAGTCTCCACTGCTGAACTTTCACTCGTGTTATGAGATATTTACTTTTTGCCCTCTTTTACTATCCTGCAGTAAGCTAATACAAAACAGATCTTCGTGGAAGGTGAGAGCGAGCTAGTGAAATTTGCGCATATCGGTTGTTTCCACGAATCGGTCACCTTTATTATTTAATCAGAGAGTTAGAAAGTTAGAAAGTTAGATCAGCAAGATATATAAAGATATCACGTCGGAGGAGGTCTATCGCTAACCTCCATTAACTTAGAATTCCTTATTCATCCCTGAAATCGAGAGAAATATGTGCCTAATTGTGCCCTATCCATGTATGTACATGGAAAATAAATAGGTCGCAGGTGTGAGAATCCCACATACAAACTAGTTGTGTTCGGAAGGTGTGATGGATCGCACTTGAATAGAAAAGTTGTGGAGTGTATGGTGTTGGATTGTCAGAGATAAAAACATTAATTACTGGAAATAAGCCGTTGCGGCAAATATTGCAATTTGAGATTGTGATGGTCAATCGTGGGATTTATTACTGTTTACTCTTGCTGATTGGAGTTGCACTATGTGCGAAATCCAGGAAACAACTCAAAGATTAAAGAGATCAATGCTTGATAGTCGTGCATGTTGGTCGTGTTTGGACTTTGAGTTTGCAAAGTTGTTGTGGACAGAAATCCAGAATGACGGCGAGTGCGATACATATGCACTGAATTTGTACTGTTTTCTAGTGTTCATAACCAAAAATAAAGCTAATGGTGAAAAGAACGTGGTGCAAATGTCAATATATTGTCAAATACGTTCCACACTCACATGAGAGACGAGGGGACCTTGTATAACTGCAGCATGACTGCTACGTATGTATGCACGGACATACAAATGTATATGTACGTACATACATCTATTTCCCCTTGCTTGCGAAAAAGAAAGTAGTGTGCGAACTGTTGTGTGTGCGATACTCTCAGTAGATTTGGCTCACCGATTTAAGACATGGATTCGCAAATACATAAATTTCGTACTAAACCAAGTTGCCAATTCCTTGTTGGGTGGAAAATAAAACAAAATGAACACAATTCATAACAACTCGACGCCTCTCTGCGTATACTACTTTTGTTTTTCTGCTTCTACAACTGACCGATTCGCTGAATTCTGTTGGTATTACTCGCTTGACAAGGGTTTGTCCGAGTAAACGTTGCTCTATGCATTTCTTATGAAATTAGTTCACTTCATAGGAGACTGACCTCTCACATGTAATTGCACTGGCTGGTATTGTGGTAGAGGGATCGATTTCTTTATCATTTTGTATTTGGTGGCAACATTATGAAAAATATTGTCGTGGACTAATTTCAAGACGAAAACGACTTATTATCTAACTCTTTGTGTTTGTGTGTGTGTATCAATCTGTCAGTTTTGCATGGTGAATTAGTGTACGTGCCCTCGGACAAAAATTTCGTGTCTTGTTGTGTGCTGTATTTCGGAGCACGAGTATTTCACAAATGAGAAGTAATTGGGGGTAGTGATTGCTGGTCAGTTAGTAAGAAGGGCTAGAACTTATGCCCCGAAGCGGTTGGATCATTTGGGGAGCTCTATAATGGCCTACAATCTTGTTGATCAAGCTAATTCCAAGGAGGAAAGTGTTGCCTTAATCAATGAGACTGCCTCTATCAGCAGCAACTTTCACCCGGCACGGCAGCAACAAAGCCCTCGCCAAATTGCTGTCAATGCTCTAAGCCCGTCCACACCCGCAATAAAATTTCGTAGTAGCTGCTCTTCGCCCCAACCTCCGTCGGCAAAAGTCCGTTTTGTTCCAAGACAAAGAGCCAAATCTCTCCTAGGGCACAGTGGGGTTCACACTAATAACAGATTATCCCTTCAAATTTCTCCGCCAACGCCAGTCCTGTCATGCAGCACCGAGGAAATGCAAGGAAATTGGAGTGATCAGCCAAGGGGGAGATGTGTTATTGCTGCTGGCAATGATCATATTCATGGTGGTGGTAGTGATTTGTCCATCTCATCTCATCAAGACAATCCTCCCCCAAGACCCCCACTGTCCAGTAACCGTCGCGCCCAAGTTATTTATGATGACCATGAAGTTTATGACCCTCTGAAATTCGGACATTTGCCCACGCCACACTTTGCTCATGATAGGAACCGGAGAAAGTCATTCGCAAAGGAAGCTTTGAGTCTGCTGTACGGACTAAATCCGCCACCACGCACACGAAGTTCCACTGATTTTAGCGAGTCTGACACAAAGTTCCCAGTTTCTAAAGTAGCTGAAAAAGAAGTACGAAAGTCCCATCACACAGATCTGAATGTACTGAATGGTCTGAAAACTATAAGCAGTTCACACAGTGAAAATAAACTTGGGTCAGATGTATGCAGCAATATTAGTGGCAACCTGATTATGGATGGAGGAATAACGGGTCAACATTTGGATGAGAAGGTTGGTAAACAAATGCGAGTACAACTTTGTGTGATTCATGTTGCCAATTTCATTTTAGAGTTTAATTAACCTGCACGTGGACACTTTGAACCACGTGTACACACATCAAGTACGGTATATAAATGCAAGACCATTTTTTGGTTATCTTGCAAACAGTTCCGTTTTCTAAATAATACTGGTCAAATAATATAGGTCCCATTGAATTGATGGGTTGCACTTCTTTCAATGAAATATGCATTTGTAAACGGAGGTCAACATGAAATATTCATGAAAACATTCATCTGCAATAACCTACATACCTGTGCATAAATATGCAGTTATCATTTGTTTATATTTCGTATTTAAATTATACACCATTGATAAGGTATACAAGTTATTAGCAAAGCGCTTTTTGGGGAAAAAACTTAATTATGAAGTGACCAAAAGCTGGGACTTCTTTACTCAGCTTATAATAAATTACCCACCACGTACGAATTTGGTAAATGCGATGCTTTTTTCTGAAGCTTGTATATCTTGGCACCGTTCCAGTACTTGAGACGAACAAAGCAAACCGTTAAATAAAAACCGAAGCAGAGCAACATGTAGTATGCTGTTATACGTTCCCGGATTATTTCTCGTTTAATTTGGCGAAATTTTTTAGAGGCTCACAATGACTGGTAAATTGACTGTGGTCACAGTTCGTATTTCTTGACATGAACTTGCAAATGTTTTCTATCTGATCATCTGTATTTAATCTTCAAACAATACCTTTTTGGTATCATAACCATTTATTTGCTATCAAGATAAATTTTAAGTCATTCCATCAATGAGCAGTACAAAAGCAATTCAAGACAGTAATTAACGCAGGTTAGGGGAACAAGTATGTACGTGGAAACCAGGCCAGCGTATACATGCATTGTGTGTAGTCAACAGTTTTTATTATGATGTGTGCCAACTGATTCTATTAATCATACCATGTGTCGTAGTGTTACATGTCATGTGTTACAAGCACTCGTTGGCGTCCATGTTTCTTCCGGGAGCGGAACAGATGGTTTTAAAACGTGAAATTAGCTTTTATGAACTCGACCTGTTTCCTCACTACTACAACGGTTGGCAGTTGGGTATGAAGTAATAATGACTGCTGTCTGTGCTACTTATTAACCCCCGTCGTTCTTGTGCCTTTCAAAGTATACAGCATGCAAATGAATACATATTCGCATATAGCAAATGTTTAGTAAGTACATATGTACAAATATATGATTTTCCAAGAGAAACGTGTCATTTTCACAGATTTTGAGATTTTCAAATTGGACAGACATTGTTCAGTGGCATGGTTATAACTGCACGGTCAAAGTTTTGCAATCAAACAAGGAAAAGGGATACTATCAGCAGCATTTACTCTACCTGCGTGTCTCCCTCGCCCAAATGCGAATATCCGAGCATTTCTCGAATGTGGAAACTAAACGTGATTATAAAACTTTTGCGGACAATTCTGAAACAAACCATTTGCATTGTTCAATAGCAAACTGCATGGTTTTATAACATGTAATAAAGAGCTTTTAGCGTGACTAACATTCTTTTTATGTGATGACTACGTGGCTATGAACTCATGCTTTCCTGTCTCCGTCATGGAAAGTCAAGGCCGTGATGTGATGCCAGTTAAATTTTAGTTGCTTAAAAGATCGATTTGTCCGTCGGCAAGTTGTGCAGTTCATTATTTCTAAAGTTACTTTAGTAAAGTAAGCCATTTATTTTCCGACAGACAGTTGTTGTGACCAACTATTTTCTGATGATAAGATGTTATGGTAGATGCACCAAAACAAAGTTAGCTTAAATCAATCAAGCAGTAAAATTCCCG